CCCAGCTTGTAGCAAGCCAAAAGTATGACTTGAGCCTGAAGGCTTTACTTACAAAACATTGAGTTATTATTACTACTTTTTTGGGGCAAAAAAAAAAGTTATGTAAAGTTTGCAATTGTAATGACATATTGACAGAGGATTAACTGCTCTGCCAATATTTGTAATTTCAAGATTCTAAATGTTTATGATTGGAAATCAATTAAGGAGTCATTTTGTCTTAAATATTTGGATACAAATAATTAAACATCGGAAAATTGCGAGTACTGGTTTTCAATTTTATCTTCCAGTAAATAGCCTTTTGTTTAGAAGAATACAGTTAGGAATTAATTACAATGTATATTACTGGAACTATAATGATGTCATCAAAGAATGCTTCAAGTGGGTTTCAACATGATAAAGCTCATGGAGGTTCCATAGGATAAGTTACTGGGGCTTAAATTGAGTTTGAAAGGACATGAAAGTTAATCTCAAGGTTATAGATGTCGTCAAAGAATTATCTAAACACTTGGGCAATTTGAGATTGAGGCTTTTTCCACAATTTTCAAAATTGTAGGGTTTCAAATCTTAGTTTGGTTTGAATTGGAATAGGAGTACGTGTCCATCAGGAGCATATAGTTGGAGTTTTGCATTTTGATAAAGAGAAACACAAATCTATTTGACCGGAAGTTAAAATGCAACTAGTTTGAGGCGTTTGCTGGACGCTTTTTAATTGTACTTAATTACCTTTTAGGATATTTAGCATGTTGAAACTTTTAGCCACACAGGATATCATTTGGCATTAAGGACATCTCAATTCATTGGGAATGTTATCCAAGTTTCTAGGGAACCTGCTTTCAATGTATGCAAGAGTTTTGGACGCTTGTGTTGTAGTATTGGACAATTGTAATGTGATCTGTCTGTGCAAGTTTTTTATAAATGCACTTATTAGTTTGACATCTACTAAATACTTATATGTCCACCTCGAAGGTCCTAGAAGTACTTTGATTTGTTACTCAATGAATTCCTCTTGCATTGTCAATCATTTGGAAACTGACATGAGTTGTTGATATCTGTGCCTGTTAAAATCATCTAACACTAACCATCAGTTTCTTCAATTCCCTATTTCATGATAGACATCTGCTTCTAGTTTCAACAATTTTTACTCCTTGGAACTTTAGTTGGGCGTTACACTTCAGGAGACTTATCCATTACAGAGAATTATTCTCATCTTCAACCTATCAACTCCATTCCAAACATCTATATCTCCCGTCTTCATTAGGGAGATTTGTTTCAGTTACAGTGTTACGAAATCATTTCAGAAGTGCTTCATGTGGGGCTTTCACTAGCCTCTAGGCCTACTCCTACATTAGGGTGCTCTTTCTCAAGGGATTTATATCTTGCCTAACTGAGGCATACACCTCAAGGTGCTTGGATGTACCCTCCTTAGTTTTGCCTTTTTTTGGACTTCTTTTTTAGCCATCCTCTACTTTTTGGGTTGTATTTTTTCCCTTCCTCTCAATAGCCCTGGATGTTTTCAGGAATTGTAGGTTGTTTAAAACAAAGTTCAACCCTGAAAACTAAGAAGAAAAAGATTTGGAGATTAGAGAACAGAAATGAAGAGCCCACCCATGTCCTAAGTCCTAACCTATTTTATTTTTCTAGTTGTGATTCAGACTTTCATAACTTTATTGAAATGTTCTATTATGGATTATTAAAAATGTTTTATGATTTTATTATTACTTTATTATGTATTTTTGTTGATTTATTTTATTTCTTTGGATTCAGGTTTATGCCTCGCCTAAGTAGATGCTTTGATATTAGCCTTTTTTTAATCACTGGCCACAAGGTCCTCAACCCGTAGTTATCCTTAATTGTTTTCATCTCGGCCTGTTAGTTTATATTTACAACTCATTTTATCTTTTCTATTATAGCCACACCCCTGCCATGGCGTCCTTATTCCTGCCATGTTCATCTTATCGGTATTTTTTCTAAGCTGCCAGTGTTTGGTGATGAAGAATCCCTTCATCTGATTTGTGTTTTTAATTTACCCATACACCTCTTTAAGCTGGTGAGAATATAGTAATGGGACATAGTTAAACACCTTTGAACACCCGTTCCAACACGTACTCTCTCTCTCTCTCTCTCTAGAGAGTGGCCGCTTAGGCTCGAGGCTTGGAGAAAACACCCTGCCTCTCACCTAGGCAAGAAAACAGTCAGTAGGGCGCACCTAGGCGGAAAAATTTGCAAGTGATATTTTCTTGTTTTCAAAGCAAGCTCAAAAAAAGGCTTAATCATTGTTAAAATTTAAAAAGGGAGCAAGTCCAAACAAAAACCCACTCTAGCTGAAAAAATGTGTTATTACATCTGGGCTTTGCCTAGGCTGACAAGGCTTGAGGCTTGACTTCTGTGCCTTACCACGCTTTACTCCTTTTAGAACCCTACTAAGTAGTAGTGGTCAGTCTGATCTTAAACTTTCAATGCAGAATCTGATATTGCATCTAATAGCGACAACCCAAATTTGATGGAAGAAGCTCTTGCTGAAGCAAGATTGCAGCTTGAGAAGGAAGACGAGGAGCTAGAGAAGGCAATATCTGGCGTTGCTGTTCAGGTACACTGCAGTCCAAATGTGTAGATTTTTGCTGTTCGATTATAATTCCAAGCATTTTTCTCCTTATTTCATGGTTCCTTGGTAATTCGAATTTTGCAGACAAAAGAGTTTGAAGACGACATTGTTCAGTTTGAGGAATTTGATTTGCAAATGGAGAGGAAACGGCAACAGTTGCAGCAGTTACAGAACCTTCTTTTTGTTGATCAATTGAGTCTTTCATTTCATAAAACACCCGCCCCACCAAAAGCCGGGGAAAGTGTAGGAGATGGTGTTAAAGCAGATTGATATTCAACTCTTCAGTATTCATCTGAGAAGCTCAGGCTCTTCCAAACCTCGGACAAGAATGACGATTGAGCTAAAGTCCATGGGAGAGTGGCAAAATTTATGGGAATGCTAATGCCTCATACGACATAATTTAAATCCGGTTTGGAATTTGTATTTATGTATGCCATCCCTTCTCTAATTGATTAGTAAATTAACAACCTGTACGGGTTTTTAATTAAAAATTCTTGTAATTTATGGATTTTCACAAGATTCTAGCATGAATTTATAATGAAATTAATGGAAGTGAAATATTAAAACTAATTATTTTCTAATTTATTTGAATATAATGGCTTCTTTTTTTTTTGCCTTTTATTATTATTATTTTTTTTGGTGGCCCGGGGGAAGGG